CACGATATTGATAATCTTCTTCATAACCTGTGGGAAATATCATTTCATCTTCAAATTCATCAACTATAGCTGATTCAAATGGAGATGGTCGATAAACCTAAACAAACAAAAAAAAAAACCTTTTTTTTTTCTGTAACATAAAACGACAAAGATTTTCTCAATATACTTGTTCATAAAGTTGCCTATCCGATCGACAACTATCATAAAATGGATCATTTCGTCGTAATAATGTTGATGACATTGAACCATCACCAATACTTCTTAATGGTGTTGAATCAACTATTCGTACTTCACTATACATTGGTGGACCAAGTTGTGATCTTGAATCAACCATATCATATGGATCATAAATGCCATTTGTAACATATCGATGTTGTTCATCATTTTTTTCTTTATATATATTTCCATTTTCTACTAAGAAACCATTATGATTATTCATACTATCAAATAATAATGCTTTATTTCGTTTAGTTTGTTGTCGATTTGATTGATAACAACGTAGAATACAACATAAACATAATAGAATAAGAAGAAATAAAAATAGAAATAGAAATAATCCAATAGTCCATAGAACAAATGAACTATTCATTAACGATGTTTGTCGAACTCGTAATTCATATGATAAATATTCGTTATCTGAACGTCCTTGATTACGTATAGCAGCAACACAATTATATGTTCCATTATGTTCTGTACCTATATTTGATATTGTTAATGTTGTTGTTTTATTAAGACATGTTGCAGGTGATAAATCCATAGAAGACGTTGATAAACACGAATAACGAATTGTGTATGAACCAGTATGAATATCAGGTTCATTTACAGTTGATATCATCTTACCAATAATTTTGTTTTGAAATGTCCACCAAATTTCAGGTGCAGGATCGGAATAGACCTAAAATAACATATTATTCTAATCTATAACAATTCTATTGACTTGTTCATAAATTCAATGAGAAAATGAAATTTCAACAAATGTTTATATCTATATTAAAACGTTCAATCTCAGATTGAATGAGGTCTTTCTATTCAAAACTCAATTTAGATTCTAAAACTAATATTGACTTTAGAAACTATGCATGAGTTATATGATTTATCTTTCCTCTGATATACGAACTGGTCATCAAAGTAAGTTTTCAGTTGAATGCTTAATAAGCTTTGAGTATCCTGAAAAAGAATTTGTATTCTTAGCTTATTAGCTACAGACATACTGTAGTATTACGGTATTTTTTAACTCAATGCCGTAGTCCCCCTAAGGAATATCAGGAAAATTAATTTTCGAATTTCGATTCGGAACTTTATACACAGACCTTAATATTCCTCTGGGAGATCACAACATTGACTTAAAAAATACTGTACTGCTGTAGTATCCCTACATCAGTAAGCTAAGAACTCGAACTTTTTTCAGGATATTCATAGCTCATTACGATCATACATGCAAATGGATATTGTAGAATGAAATGAATGACGAAAATACTTTTATTTAAATAAAATATATTTTTTTGTTGACTTACATCACATCGAAGTGTAGCAAGTTCTCCAGTTGTTGTAATAAGAGTTCTTAAATCAGGTTTTGATATAATTGGTCCACAAACAAATTGTTCATCACTTAATGTAATCATTTTTTTATCAGCTAATGCTTTAGGCATTTCACATCGTGGTTCATCATGATAAATAGGATATTCAACACGATTCAATGCATTACGTAACCAACGAAGACGACAATCACATTCTAAAGGATTTGAACTTAATTTTAAATTAAAAGAATTTGGAAATTTTATATTATTTGTTAATGTTCTTAACATATTTGAATTTAAAAATAATTTTTTTAAATTCTTTAAATAATTAATTATAGTCATATCAATATATTGAAGATGATTAAATGATAGATCAAGTTCTTCTAAACGATTATATGCTCGAATATCAGATATCGTTAAACGTTGAATTTGATTGTGTGATAAAATTAATTTTCTAAATTTGAACAAAAAAAAAAACTTTTTTTTTTTTTTGTTTTCCTGTAAACAAATGTATATACATACACAAGATTACTATATTCTACATTATTATTTGATATTTTTGGCATAGATTCAAGTTCATTATTTGATAAATCAAGATGTTCAAGAGCTCGTTCAATTAATACTAAAGCTTGATTATCTATTTGTCGTAATTTACTCTGTACAATATATAAATAACGTAAATCATTTAATTGATAATATATATTTCCATATGAAAATTGAAGAAGACCATTTGATAAACTATTTAATCGATGACTTCTTATTGTTAAATTTGTAATAACACCACCACGTCTTAATTTTATATCTGATTGCGAACTAAGTTGTTCATGTATACATTGTTGATAAGTAATCAATGAATGAACATTGTCACAAACCATTGTCATTCCTGTACCATCTAAATGGCATGAACATGACACGGATCGACTATATACCATTCGAATTGATATTATCAATGATAAATAGCAAACTATGCTGAATATAAATAAATTCATATGAACATTTAATAGAATTTTAAATAATATAGAACTAAAATAAAAACATATATATACATATATATATATATATATATATGTATAGATTTACGTGATTAGTAATAAAAAGTAGACATGCAATATTTATTAAGTAGTATATGCACGACATAGACTCGTATATAATAGGAATGAATTTTAACCGTATCATACGAAAATTATCACATTTTCTTGACAGACTAAATTATAATCACTTTCTGTCAATTTTTCTTACCAATGAAGTACCCATGTGAAAAATTAATACTTTTGTATGTTAAGCTTATTTAAAAAAAAATACTTGAATAGTAAATCAAACAAAATTGATTTGACAACTATTAAAATGTCGAACATTTTGATATAGTAGCAAAACAAAAAAGAAAGATCTGATATGAAAATTTCGAAAGCATGAAACATCATGTTGTTTTTTTTTGTCAAATATCAACGAATTCATTTCATTTTCACATACATATATATATATATATGTATGTTTATATCGACTATTTTAATCTATCGATTGATAAGCATGAGAGACTAACATCATAACATGTCGATTCATTCATCAAATACATATTCATATGGAAAATGTATATACTTTAATTATCAAAAAGAAAACATTTCGACTTGAGTTGGTTGATCGGAGTTAATTTAAAAGAAATAAAAAGTAACTCACTATATATTCGAGAACAAACAATAAAAAAAATAAAGTCTTATCGAAAGTATAACTATTCGAGTCTTTTCATTTTTTTCTTTTATCAATAATGACCATCTCTAGACAATCGATAATTTTCTATGTTCATCGAGGTGACAAAAAAAAATCAAATTTAATCATTGGATTATACATAAAAATCAGACATAGATATGATCCAAATATATGTATATACTCACATAATATTGTCCATAGATTTGTCTTCATTAACATGATGCTATTCGATAATTCATTCAACGTCGTTTCTACATCTACAAAGAGAACAAAGAAAATATATGCAATAATGTCCGACCGACTGAATGAAATTATCTTGAAACAAAGCCACTCAGTGTTCTTCCTGTTCGAATAGAGAGACAGTCATTTAACGTTTGAGAAAGAGACAGAAAGAAGGCAAAATTTTTTTTTTCTTCTTCTTCTTTCCATCACTACTACACATACTCTCGGATGGACAATGAGAGTAACAACAGATTGATCGACGATCGCGAACAGAATAAGAAGAAAAAAAGACGATTGAGGGCAACACCTTTGAACGGGGTCAGAATACAGAACAACGGTATAAAAAAGAAAGTAAAAGAAGAGAAAGGACAACAAAAGGGTTACAAATGATTATCAATGTATGTCAAACGGAAATGTTCCTCAATAAAAGTCAAGTACTGATTATGTCTAGTCTATGTATTTATGATCATGATCCTTTACTTTTCTTTTCTTTTAATCAAGATCAGATCAATTAGTTGTTGAATATAGGAAAAACAAAACGAAAGAATGCAAAAACACATATGGTCTGTTAATGAACAGCACTTGCGGCATCACCAGTTAGTATTCTAATGTTATTACAGACCTATCCATAAACAATAATGCTCTGGTGTATAATATGCAAAGATTATCGTCTGTTCAGACATCGGTACCATATGGACATCTTTTGTTGCTGACTAATACATCATTTGAATACAAAAAAGTAGATTGAATTCAGATGTTGCCAACGATAGTGATTTTGGTAGATATACATATATATATATATATATGTGTGTATATACAAAGAAAGAAACAAGATAGACGATGTAAATGCATGCTTTTATGCAATAGAATGGTGTTCGATTGAGTTATGATGAATGATTTTTATTGATAATGATATGTAAGATTTGTTTATCAGTATATACATAATGTTATTAAGAAAGTGATGAACAAAATAATCGACAAAAGATTTCCTTTTTTTCTTTTTCTTGTTCTTCGTCATCTTGAAATAATAACAAATCAACTATTTGACACATACATATAGTCGTCGAACAGTAAAAAATAATAGTCTTTTCTAATATTATGCAACAATCAAATGATCTTACGGAAAAGAAAAGATAGGAAAAATTGTTGGTGATAGCAGAACATCACTAATACGTATGAAAAAAGCGAACAAATGATAAGAGATCTTATGCACACACATGTTCTTTCTCACTGAAGTAAAAAAAAAAAAACAGGAAACGTTCAATCTCATATAACAAATCCTTGACCAAGAAAAATATAAGATGATAGAAAGAAAGAAAAAGACAAAAGAATTTTGGCAGCTTTCACTATTGGTTATTTATAATGAACAATAAAATTCAATCGCTAAATATTGAACATTTTCTAAGTATGAAAAGTACAAAAAAAACATTGTTTTTCTTTTTTAAAATAAAGTTTTCAATCGTTTTTTTTATAAAAGTTAATTTAATAAATTGAAAAAGCGCCATCTATTTTTTCACATGTATTTCGATTGAATCAGTAATTTTTTTTTATTTTGAAATGTGGTACCGATTATTCAAACGATTGTTTCAACTGACATTATTCTTCATATGGAGTTTAATATTAATTTATCTGATATTTCTTTCAATTTTTACTTTTATTATTTTCAATATTTGTTTAACCATATTTTTATTTTGGTTTATTATAACATTAATCGGATGGTCATTTACCATTATTCCTATACTAAAATTTGTTTTTGTACCATGGTATCATCAACAATGTCGTTTATGGACACAAAAAAATCAACAAAACCGTTACAATGTTGCTTTTTTTCATCCCTATTGTAAAAATGTAGGTAGTAGTGAACGAGTTTTATGGATTGCAATTAAATCAATTCTTAAAAAATATAAAAATGATATCCAAATTATTATTTATACAGGTGATATTGATACAACACCAGAAGAAATTTTTCAATGTGTTAAACAACATTTTGATATAGATATGGAAATTCATAAATCTTCAATAACATTTATTTATCTAAGAAGTCGATTTTTAATTGAAGCAAAATCTAATACTATATTAACTTTATTAAGACAAAATATTGGTTCAATTATTCTAAGTTTTGAAGCATTAATACATTTTATACCTGATATTTATATTGATTCAATGGGTTATACATTAACTTATCCATGTTTTTATTATCTTGCTTCAATTCCAATTATTTCCTATGTTCATTATCCAACAATTAATAGTAATATATTCGAACAAATAAATGAAGAATATAAAATATATAATAATCATCAATCTATTATCAAGAATTCATTATTAATTAAAATTAAATTAATTTCTTATCAAATATATACTTATGTTTATAGTTGGTGTGGACGATGTTCAAAAATTGTTTATTGTAATTCAATATCGACAAAAAAACATATTGAATCTATATGGAGATTATGTTGTATTGGTCCTGTTTATCCACCATGTGATATTAAACAATTTTTAGAAATGCCATTAATTAATGATGATGAACAAATGATAAAAACAATCGTTTCAATTGGACAATTTCGACATGAAAAAAATCATGAATTACAAATTCGAGCATTTCATCAACTTTTACAAAAGTATAGTTTAGTTGTTTTTTTTTTAGAAGTTAATTTTAATAAATTAAATTTATTTAGAAAATCAAATTATCATCAAAAATTAAAATTGATATTAATTGGTAGTATAAGACATAATGAAGATAGAAAATATCTAGAACAATTACAATTACTTGTTGATAATTTAAATATTAATAATGAAGTCATATTTAAAATAGATATAGATTTTCAAGAATTAAAAATTCAACTTAATCAAGCAATAATTGGTTTACATACTATGCAAAATGAACATTTTGGATTAGGTCTGTAAAGCATAGATTATGCTTGAAATCAGAATTAGTCATCATTAAAATCTCAACTCTAAATTATTTGAAGATTACCTCACTCTAATCATAAAATGAGAATAAGAGTTCTTACAAAGGAATAAATCCATTAGAGATAAGGAATTTCACATTGCATGTGTTCGTTGAGCTGTATCTTAAGGTTATATATTAAATGGATCAAATATTTGTCGGTCAAGTGATCGGTTCAGTAACAAAAAAAAAAAAAATTTCAATGATTCCCAATCTGATAGATATCCGTACATTCATTTTTTTGTGTTGTTTTATCTCTTTAGGTATTGTAGAAATGATGGCTGCAGGTGCAATTGTAGTTGCTCATAAATCCGGTGGTCCACAAATGGATATTATTGATGAAGGAAAAACAGGATTTTTTGCTTCGGATATTGATTCCTATGTGACAATGATGGAAACAATACTTGAAATGAAATGTAATGAACGACGTCAAATACAAGAACAAGCACGTAGCAGTGTTGATCGATTTAGTATATTAAATTTTGAAAGATTATTTATAGAACCATTTGAGAAGATTTTATTTATCAAATAAATTATTTTTCTTTTATTTTGTTATTATAATTATAAAATAAAAAACAAAGAAAACGATATATTTGATATTATATTTTAGTATTTTAATATGGCATCGAAAGTAATTGGAAAATGTGAAAAAAATTTTATTATTCGATGTTTACGGGATCGACAAGTAAATCAAAATAAGAACTAGAAATTGATTCAATGAATAAATGTTATCTATTTTTATTATCTTTTTTTTAGAGACTTGATCATAGACTTCCATTTGTTACTCGTGAAATTAAAATTGAATTTCGAGAAGAATATGGTTCAGTTGTTGTCTCACTCGGTTTAACCAAGTTTGTGAGTTGATAAAAATCAGTTTGTTTATTTAATATTTTTTTTCGAAGAGTATTGGCACAAACATCTTGTAAAATTGTTAAACCAAAAGAAACTCGACCGAATGAAGGTCGATTAAGACTACAATTAAAAAATAGTCATACAATGATGTTTAATTTTGAAACTGGAAGGTAAAAATTTTTGAAAATTCATGAAAAATTTCTCATTATATTTTATAGACAAACACAATGGACAACACTTATGAGTCGACATTTGTTACAAAATATTCGTGATTCAGGTTGTGTTGATATGGAATCATTATGTATTCTTGCTTATGAAAACGTTAGAATAGAAATTTTAAATATTTTCTATAGCCATTTGTTGGCTTGTTTTTTGTTTTGTTTTTGAAGGTTTGGGAAATTAGTGTAAATTTGCATGTACTTGATTATGATGGAAATATTCTTGATTGTGCTAATTTAGCTGCACTATGTGCTCTTGCTCATTTTCGGTGAGATTTTTAATGTGTCATCTTCAGAAAAAAAAAATGTCTTTTTTCATTTTAGATATCCAGCAGTAACAGTCACTGGAACAGATGTACATGTGGTAAAGATTTTCTATTAAACTTAAAATTTTGTTTTAATTTGATTTTTTTTTATTTAGCATCCAATTAATGAACGAAATCCACAACCTATTCGTATTCTTCATTATCCAATTATGATAAGTTTTGCTCTATTTGAAAATGGGTTTGTCTTCAATCATTAAAAAAAAAAAAAAAAGTATTTATTTTGAAATTTTAAATTTAAGAGAATACATGTTAATTGATGCATGTGAAGGTGAAGAAAAAGTGATGGAAGGTTTATTTGCTATTGGTATGAATCAACATAAAGAATTAAGTACATTAGCAATGTTTGGAGAAATCTGTTTGACTCGTGATCAGGTTTGTTTATAATATTTTTTTTTCAATATATATATATTTTTTGTTTTTATTGATTTTAGATAGAAAATTGTATTTCATTAGCTCATCATCTTGTACGTGATATTACAAAAGAAATGCGAGATACATTAGAAAAAAATCGAGAAGAACAATTACAGATGATTCAAACTATAAATCATCGTTGAAAAAAAAAACATTTTTGTTACTCATCGATAATACCAATTTGGTCTTTATAAATAAAAAAAAAGAATTAATAAATATGTTAAAGAAACAAGATTTTTTGGATGTCGACGAGGATGTGAATGTTTTATTTTCTCACATCCACATCTTCAAATGTGAATACGGTAGTTTTTAGATCCCAAAATATGTTGTGAGAATTCGCTTTTAACAGTATCATCTGGGAGAGCATAAAAATTTGAACGATATAAGAGATCACTGCATTCTTTACGACCTTTTCTTACAAAAATATCAGTTTCACAAAAGATAAATGTAGTTTGTGATGTTTGTAACTTTGCAAGAGAAGGTTGTAAAAAATGCACAACTCTTTATAATGTTCAAAAGTGTTAGGACCTAATAACTATAACTTTGAGCACTACTGTAATTAGAGTAATGTGCCGATAACTAAAGTTTTCCTAAAATAAATTTTGAAACAGTTAATCAATAACTTGATTTGTTCCGTCTTATCATTTGAAGATCAAAAATAAATTAATTATCTGAAATCTCAAATGTTCTTGTCTAGTTTGATGATGATAATAGTTGTTAATTTCATTTAAAAAAGTTATCTATAAACGATATTGGTTGGTTGTTGTTTGGAGGTATTCAAGTTTTACTTATTTCTATAATCATATTAATATAAACGTCTAATGAAGATTACTATCATCATGTTCTTCATTCGATAGAATCATTAAGCAACGTATTCTATTTTATTATTGATTGACATCAAAAATTCAATATTTTTTATCATTCTATATGATAATAAGAACTATTTGACTGCGGTTTGTCTATTTACAATATTCAACTTATATAATCATGCATTTAGGATAGTCCATCTTGTTTAAAAATAAATGAATGAATTATTTTCGACCTGAATTACTAACATCGATACAGTTGCAAATCTATATATTGTCGACAAGAGTATTAAAAAAGAGAATTACTGTAGAAGAGACGATAATTATTCAGGACAGCAGTGACTCGATTACAGCTACAGAACGTCTAATAGTACTCCAATAATTGAAATATTTGTTATTTGTACCAGTTAAAAGCTAAATATACGGCAGATATTCACTCATTTTTTTCCAAACAAATATGAGTGACAATCATACAATTATAGTCAAGTTAAAAAGTTCATCATGTTCAGTTTTAGAAATATTCTATAATTTCGTTCTTGAGTAGTTGTCTTGGGTGCGGATGTCTTTGGCGAGAAAAATTCCTAAGTCATATTGTACCTTGTATTCAATGGCCTTTTCATTTTTTAGGAAGTTTTGAGTCAAGCAACAAAAAATAGCTACATGATAAAGTAACATTAGGTACACAAGTGTAATCAGTGTTTATAGACTTCGAACGTTATTCTGACGAAAATGGATTTATTATACTTTCTGAAAATCATACCTTTGATCAATAGTCGTTAGCATGAGACTCATTCACGTTAGAACTATTGAGATCCTTATTTGACTTTGATATTAGGTGTATTTTCTTTCTCAAACGATTAAACCGTCAAATCGATGTACACCGAAGAATGGAAAGAAACACACGTTTCGAGATATATTCTTTGTTATTTTATTGGGAAAAAGATCGAAAATTTTCCAGAAGAAAGCTCAAAATCCATTCGCATCAAGTTCTGCACTGCTATATCTATGAGTAAATGTGAAGTCTCGATCTTTTCTTCACTCACTCGTACGCAAAACAAAATTAATGCAGAATTTTTACCTCACCGTCAATTAAAATCAATTCATTGATTTTCATATTTAGTCAAATATTCCTTTTTCTTCTGACAAACATAAATCAAATCTCTTTTTCCATTTAATATTTATGTTTAGTAATAGCACACTCATCAAATAAAGTATCATTTTTTTCTTCTTTTATTTAAGGAAATTTACATATTTATTTTCAGCTAAATAGAATAGTTGATTCATCTAATAAACTAATTGAACGACATGTCATTCGTAAATATAAATGATATAAAATAGAAACAGTATTCTTTTTTTACGATTCATTGATTGTTGCTGTTAACGACTAACATAAAGTTCGAGGAACATTAAACGATTGATTTTAAAACCTAGTCTCATGTTACTTTATCAAAGTACAATATGTATGGTTTATTTCTTTCTATCAATGTTGCATTTTTTATTATGTGAAAGACTTGTTTTCATTGAAAGAATGGTTTCTGAATTGGTACTTTTCTTTTGTCACTATGTGAAAGTTAGAATAACAATTTTTCATTTATTATAGTAATGCAATGTCCATTGAAAAAAAATCAGAATTCTGTTTTAGAATTTGACATTAGAAATGTTAAAATCTAATAATATCTTCAATTGTTGAGCAAGAAGTGCTTAATGGTGGCTAACTCAATGATTCATCCAATATAATACGAACTATTAGTCTTTATATTATTTTTTGGAATTGTAAAATTTCAAACTATCTAAATGATTGCATTCTTGAATTCTTTGTGAAACAATTCAGTAATGCTATATTGCTGAAGAGAATGAATCAATACCGTCTTCAATCTTTTGTGAAGAAAACTTGTTTTGAACTTTTCTGACAATCAAACGACAGAGGAGAAAATTGTAAATTTAATGAGTAAATCAAAATGAGCTGATGTGTGAATTTCTATAAGAACTTTTAGTAGACTTCCGAATAAAAGAGTCAAATTCAATATCTAAAACTTCTTCGTAGTCGACATGGTCGATTTTCGGATTGGTATCACTTCTTTTCTTAACTATTAAACAATTGCAAATAATCACAATATATTTCATTAAGAAAAGTGCGCAATTGTTTTAGAATATTGATTCTATATCAAAATTCTATGATGAATTCTCTTACTAAAAATCAATTGAAAACAAATAGAAAAATACCGAATAAATCTATTCAACGAAATACAACCAAGAAATCAAACAATCTAATACAATCATCAATGCAACATAACATATTTCGACGTGAAATTCAATGTCCACGTCATATCTTCACTAATTTTGTTATCAATCCTGTATAAAAATTTCTTTTTTTTTTTTCCCTCTATAAACAAAATTTATCATTATGTGTCTTATTAGTATCATCTTAAGCAATATTTCTATACACCAAAAGTAAATGAATATGAACCGGATGAATATATATTTAAAGATGATGAACGTCTTCGTTCAATTATTCAACGTGCATCTATGCCTCCAAATAAACTTTATAATTTTCCACAAACAACTACACAAGAAATTGGTTGGTTTAGTTCTCATCGTCTTTTGAACATCGATCAAACTGACAGACGTTTTTATAAACCTATACAAAATGGTGACTTTACTAAATATGAAAATCAAAGAATTAAATATCAAACATTATTAAAAACTAAAAATACACGCGTACAATTAGCACAAAAGAAAAATTTGATTTAATAAAAATTATTTCTTTATTTTCTAAAGTATTATTATCTTCAATATCATGCCACTCAGCTGCACCGGTTACTTTTTTTTCCATTGAATTCTTCCGTTCCATTTGTTTATCCGATTTAACATGATTATTGCCCATTCATCTTGCTAATCGAGTTGTACACACACATACAT